AGAACATGACACCCAACATGGACGCCGCAGTTAAGCCGCATCAGGCTCCGTTGGCATCTGCTCGTGACCCTCCCAGTGTTTATGTTTGTGAAATGGATGGTCTTTGTAGCGTTCGAAATGCTTAAGCCGAAGCACGGGTAGCCGTCTTCCACATTTCCTCTTATGCCTGGAATCATGGATATTCTGAATGTTGTGAAAAATGGCTTCATTTTGTTGCAGCTTGTATTGAGCACCAAGCAGATTTTATCGCCGGTGACGGCAACCAATTCGCCCAACGAAATTTCAAACGGGATGATCATTCCGACTACCGGAGTTGCATCATGGTCGACCTTATTGAACGTTTTCTTGGACACATCAATATGCACCGCAGTGCTTTGAACAGAATTTCATACAATGTAGTATCCTCCACACAGGCCGGCCAATACATCCGCGCGATGGAAGGCGACTTCGAGGCCGATTGTGATTCAATGCTTCTCATCAGCCTCCGCTACGGGAAGCAGACGGTCATCTCTGAGGACCGAGGCCGCCAGGAATCCGCTTCCGCGGATGGCGTAGTAGGGCCTGCTTATGATCTGAGATCATTCTCACAGATGCGGAGCAAGCCAAACATTTCATGACCTATGATCTCGGCTTAGCAGAGACAGATGCCGCATGGCACTCGCCTTTATAATGACGTTTGCCACAATGCGTGTTATAAAAAATATGCGTATCAGGTCTCAACAAGCCGAAACCCGGCGCCGAGAAAGATGGCAAGAAAAGAATGTCGCTTACAAGCAGAACCGAGACGATCAAAAGGAAGAAAGAAAAGAAAAGACGCGACTTTGTTCCACCTTTGATGCGAGATACATTCCGAAACACGGATACTCGTGCTAGAAGCAGAGAAAGATCCATGAGCCGAAATCCCGGCCGAGATCGCACCCAGTCACGTCAGCCACGAACTCCACCGCAGCCTCCGCCTGCTAGGACGCCGAGTCCGAGAAGAACAACTGAGCCACCCCAAAGCTCAAGTTATCGCCGTGGCACCACGCCTCCTTGGCGTGAGCATGAACGTGGACGTGACGATCTACGTCAGCGCTTTGAAACACCACCAACACGCAGCACCCGAAGTCGCACCGAAAATCGGTCAAACCAGGGCGCTTCTTGGACAAACACCGGACGCCAAGCGCGCAGAGATGTACCTAACGTACCTGAACCTCCAGCTCCGCCGAGGAGACAGACAGGCGCGCAATGGCTAAATTCCGGCGCATGGCAAAATGTGCCAGAACCACCTCAGATGCACCGCAATACCGGTCGAGGTTATTTTCAGCCACCATATTACCGGCAAAATCCAAACACCAGTGCAGTTGAATACATGCCTGGTTATCAAGCTCCGTATGAGAGATGGATCCGGCGCCCTGACGGAACATGGTTAGATCTTGTTCCACAAACTCTTGATCAGTCCATCTATTTTAACCAGCCGAGATGGCAGCACCGTGACACCGAACTCTGGTTGTACGGCTATACTTTTACAATGGGACTTTGAACTAGCTGAAACATCATGAGAAAAGGAACGAACCGCTATCGCGGTCAGTAGCAGCATCTTCATTTTTTGCCTTCGGACGCGTTTCACTGCAGAGCATAAGCTGACCGCTTCTTATGCATGACAAAAGTTTTGCTGCATGTTCCGACACGAAGAAAATTTGTGTCTGTTTGTAATCTACTTTTGGGGACGTGTCTACACAATGCACTCTTATTGTATTGCATGTACATGACATGTTCACAGTAATTCATTTGGACCACTGCGCCACCCCGTGGCTCAAGACTTGCTTGCATACCGCAGCAAAAAGGTGTAGCTTGCCGCCGCGTTGACCACAAGTGTTCTAACGACTAATCGTAGACCCAGGGCTCCCTTAATAGAGGGGATTGCTACCTCACCCCCCTGCTAAAAGGGTGGGGATTCGAAAGGCGCTGCTGGCATAGCGAGCATCGTGAGCGCGGCGAGATGGAAACGGGAGATCCATCGGCCTTGAAAAACATGTAAGCCTGTGTCCTTGTCAAATCCGTAAAGCGCATTTATTTGATCTTGATATCTTTGATTCTACAGTCCCAGCAATGCTTATGAAAGAAGACATGATGGTGTGGTTGAGTGCAGTATGGCAGTTCATAGCACGATTAATCGGGGCGTCAGGTATGATGTCATCACGATGGCAAGCGGAGTCAATCCCGTATTGGCCTTGGCCCTGGACCGGAGAACTGTGAAAGCACCCTTTCCTTGAAAGTTTCAAAGCTTCGTCCTGGCTTCAAATCAGCGGTTTGCTACCCAATTTGTTGCCGGGCGTTCCTACTCTTTATTTGAATGAAGGAAAACGCAAACAGCAGCTGGATTTCAGTACCTTCCTTCGCCCTTCCAAATTTTTGTTCAAACGCCTTGATGAGAGTGTCTGCAGGTACCAACGTGGTATCGGTGATGCTTTTAGCAAGGTTTTCATGCGTGAACAGGTCAGTCGAAAGCAGCACAGGTAGCGACAGAATCTAGTCAGTTCCTGTAAGTTGCAGAACATACTACCAATTGAAGCTTGCAGTGGGCCAACGGTTTCCGTTGAGATCGGAGCTTGGCGTTTTTTTATCGGAATAGAGAGCTTCACCACAGCACTCTTGCTGGGCCGATGATTTGAGGATGCGAGTCATTTTACGAGTCATTCTGTGAGTGAGATTTGACTGACTGCTCTTTGAACACCAAGGCTGGGCCTCAAAGATTGGCGTGAAACTGTGTCTTTTCGGTTGGGGGCTGATCTTGTCAAACTGCAATGGAAGTTCATTGACATCTGTTGACACATGTTGAGTGCTTGGAAGACCTTCAGCCACGACGCAACTGTTCAGCACCCAATAGCCAATTCTGCTCAATTGAAAGCGGCGCATTGTCATCCTGATTCCAAAGCTTGTCACGCACCGCTTGCGCGATGGGTTTGTCGCGATACGTCGAATGTTTGGTTCTTACTTGTCTTGGATCTGTTCCTTTCCTCGCCGTGGTGAACTACAAGTTGGATCCAATGATAGATTTTAATGCCTGCAGCAAACCATGCTATTTCGTGCGCTATGTTGGAACTGAAACGTTGCCCGAAACCACTGCAGCAAAATTGCAACTCAAAAACTCAAGTTTTGTGCCTTGGGACTTCCCAGTCTTTGCAGCTGTTGAGAACAGTCGCAGCTTCTCGGCTGTATCTCCCCAGGTTAGTATACTCAGCTTGCCAGGGTGCATAGGAACCTATCCGGCCACCCTTGGCTGGATTTGGTCAGCACCGGAGACAAGCGAATTACCCAACCCGGCACTTGTCAACGAGTATGTATGTGAAACGGAAAGTGTGCGGAAAAAGATTGAGAATCATCCGACCAAGGGCTACATCGTTACAGTCTATCTTTTTGCACTCGTCATGTGGACTCTGATGAAACTTGCCCATGACTGGGCCTTGCTGGCAGGTGTACCAGAAGAGATTACATTGCTGGTCGGTGTGCTTTCATGGGTGTTTCAATTACTTGCATCCTGCGCAGCCTTTTCCTGGGCCGCTGCTGCGACCCAAGTCTTTATCTCAAAAATCCCTGAAGGTAGTGGTGCTTGCTATTACCAACTGGCACCTTTCGCAACTCTGACAGCATTGGGCGTGCCACTTTTGCTGCTATACCTTACTCATGTGAAGATGAAAAACTTGGTCCTATCCCTGGCGCACGGAGATTATCTACATTACAAAATACTCAATGTGCCATGCCGCGCAGCTCAGGGTACAGCTGCGTCACACCTGTTGCTGACCAAAGGATTGCCTGGAGATTTCAACGTAGTACCTGCCCCACATCAGCAGCTTCCGTTTCGAAACGTGAATCGGTGGCGGATCTGTGCCAGGAGCCTTCGTTATTTCTATGATTTCATGTTGATCGGGCTCATTCTCCCTTTCGCCTCTGGGGGCTTCTTCCTTCGAATCACAGAAATGGCTGTCAGCCATGAGTGGTCTTTGAGCCCCATGGTTTTGGTCAAGTTTTTTACTATGCTGGCAGCTGCTTCCACTCCGATCATTGGTGTCGCTTTTGGAGCCTGGATGTTCTTTACCATGATACAGGAGGTCTTTTCAGAGTGGAGCAGTCTGCGGGACCTTGGAAGTTCACCATGTCCATTCAACTCGTCCTTCCTATTGCTGAGTTTCTGTTGGCTTTGAGCACTTCTGGTGGGGCCTGGAACATAGTCCAAGCAGTGGCTTTTCATCCAGGAGCTGATGCACTGCAGTCACTGCAGCAGCATTGGGAATGGCACCTTCATGGTATATCGACTGCGTTATTTGTTTTCTTGGCATTCGCTGTGGAAGTCGATGAACACTTAGAGCAGGTATTGTCTTCATACAGACTGAATGGACATGACAGTGACCCAGACATGCTTGAGGATGGAAGTGACACTTTTGCATCTCTCATCCACAACAAATTCTTGAAGTGTTCAGCAACACAGTCTTTGACATTTACAAATTCAGAATTTTGAGAGAGGATCCTCTGGATCTCTGTGGCGCCACGGCACGGAAAAAATGAGAAGGTGCCTCTTGCAGACTCTTGCAGCAGCCCGTTTTATCTGTGTGGTGGCTTTCAAGGAGTTCGCCTGTGTCTATTGAAGTTTTAGTTGCATGAGAAGTCTAGTTTTAGTTTTTGAGTCCGGAGTTTCTATTTCCTTGTCTTGGAGTCTTGGAACAGTGAAAATGTCAAGCAGCGAGGGAATCTTTGCGCATCCTTGGGGATTCTCCCAGGAGCTACCGAGCAGTGCATTGTGGACAATGCGTATGAAGGATAGATAAGGATAGCCTTTCTGGCTCTTTGATTTGATTGGCACTCAATCAGATTGCAGAAAATACGAAAATACCCATGATCACTCACTTCAATGTTAGGCATTAGATGACTGCAGATCTGAACTTGAAGCTTACTGATCTTTGCCCTGACAAGAATGCACATGACATGCTGATTTGTTTGCAGTTGCGTTCTTGCGATCGTGGAGTTTTCGATTTTTTCCATGAAAGAAATTGGGATAGACTCCGCGCTGCTTTCTCCCTGGGAGCAAGGCTTGCCAGAGGCAAAATCACGATTGGAGCTGGGCTTCAGGCGTACAAAGGGCATGGTGGGCATGGCGAGCATGGCAATCCGAGAACAACGGTTTCCTGTCTCAAAGAAACATGCGTCCTGTCCCATCTGTGTATGCATTTGTCGTAAGATGATGATTTGGTCATTTCTGTAATTTCAGACTCGCAGCAATGGCCAATGGCTTTCAGAAATAGAACAGAAACATGCTGATGTTGAGCTGAGCATGTGGCATTGTGAATCGGAGCTTCAGGTAGGCTGCCATCACAATGGCAAGCGGAGTCAATCCGCTATTGGCCTTGGGCCTGCCAGGGAGGCCCAGGGACCTCGGACCACTTCAAGCAGCACATGTAGCCTATCATGTAGCCTTTTGGAGCTCAGTTTGCGCATTGCGATTTCAGGTCGACATGTGTTGACATCTATGCAGATATCTGCGATGTCCTCAATGGCCCTGCGGAGCAGGAGCAGCAGTGCAAGGAGAAACGGGACTTGGGAACTGGTACTTGTCGGATCTTGTCGGTTTGGTGCTTCATAAGTGTGTCCTTCATAATTACTCATTGTCGTGTGTGCTTGTTGTGCCCCAGTTTAGCTTGCCAGACATGTGAGCTGTCGAAGACATGGTTTTCACTGCTGGTATTGTCGTATAGTTACTATAGTTTTCCTTCGCTTGAAAAAACAGTCAAACGATCGGCGACAGAGAGCTTGATTCTTTGCTGCCCATTCTCCATTCCTGTAATCCCACAATTCACGGGATTGTTTTTGTGGCTTCTTTTTTGGAAGATGCTGTGATGTACCGGTAATCCTTTCAAACGTCTGAAGATTTGCTGGGATTTATCATTGCACAGCAACATGCCAGAATTGTGTCCAGCCGAAAAAAACAATAATCACCCCGGTGGCACCATGAACATCACCACAGCCTAGGGCAGTGGTAGCTCCATGTGTCAAGGAATTGATCCCTAATCACGGTCTGAAACGGTCAAAACCTGTCAAATGCATTACCAATTCCACATTGAAGTCAGGAATGTGGCACCATAGCAGCCTTAACAGGAGAGATCACGAGAGCCACATGATGTCGGTATCTAGACAGTGACAGGGAAATACTATATCAGTTGAGGGAATCACGTTTGTTTCAGTGATTTTCAAAGTGGTTTTCGCATCATTCGAAGTCTTGAAGGCCAAAGTGTGTACAGAAGCCACTTGTGACCGACTCACGACAATGAGGAACGTAGCAAGTACCCTTGGTGTGTCACAGGAGAACATGAAGACAGAGCTCGCCGCGCTTCTGGGAACACCAGAGGACAATCACTGCAGTCCGACCTCGCTAGGCAAGCTCCTATCTCTTCCTTTGCTAATCACTCTTTGCTGTGCATCTCAAACTACAAAAACCTGACACAACCTGACACAAAAACAGAAATGCACATTTAAAAGCATTGCCAAGATTAATAGAATGGGCTAGCGCCCTGGTGCCGCCGACCCCCCCTATTTGGGGGGTCCTGTAGAGAGAGGGAGAGAGATGGATGGATGGATGGATGGATGGATAGATAGATTGATAGGTAGAGAGATAGAGAGAGAGAGAGAGAGACAAAGAGAGAGAGAGAGAGAGATAGACAGATAGATAGATAGATAGACAGTTCGATAGACAGATAGATAGATGGATAGATAGATAGATAGACAGATGGATAGATGGATAGATGGATAGATAGATAGATAGATAGATAGGTAGCTAGATGGAGGGATTGAGGGGTAGATAGATTGATAGATGACAGATGGACAGACAGACAGACTAGATAGATAGATAGAAAGAAAGAAAGAATAGATAAATAGATAGATAGATCGATAGATCGATAGATAGAAAGATAAATAGATAGATAGATAGATAGATAGGTAGATAGATAGATAGATAGATTAGATAGATAGATTAGTTAGATAGATTAGATAGATAGATTAGATAGATAGATTAGATAGAATAGATTAGATTAGATTAGATTAGGTTAGGTTAGATTAGATTAGATTAGATAGATAGATAGAATAGATTAGATTAGATTAGGTTAGGTTAGGTTAGCTTAGATTAGATAGATAGATAGATAGAGAGAGAGAGAGAGGTAGATAGATAGATAGACAGACCGACTGACAGATAGGTAGATAGATAGATAGATAGAATAGATTAGATTAGATTAGATTAGATAGATTAGATAGATAGATAGATAGATAGATAGATAGATACATAGATAGATAGATAGATAGATAGATAGATAGCAAGATAGCTAGATAGCTAGATAGCTAGATAGCTAGATAGCTAGATAGCTAGATTGCTAGATAGCTAGATAGCTAGATAGCTAGATAGCTAGATAGCTAGATAGCTAGATAGATAGATAGATTGATAGGTAGATAGATAGATAGATAGATAGATTAGATAGATAGATTAGATAGATAGATAGATAGATAGATAGATAGATAGATAGATAGATAGATAGAGAGATAGATAGATAGATAGATAGATTAGATAGATAGATTAGATAGATAGATTAGATAGGTAGATGAGATAGGTAGGTAGATAGATAGATAGATAGAATAGATTAGATTAGATTAGATTAGGTTAGGTTAGATTAGATTAGATTAGATAGATAGATAGAATAGATTAGATTAGATTAGGTTAGGTTAGGTTAGGTTAGATTAGATTAGATAGATAGATAGATAGAGAGAGAGAGGTAGATAGATAGATAGACAGACCGACTGACAGATAGGTAGATAGATAGATAGATTGATAGTCGGATGGGTAGGTAGATAGATGGAGAGATAGAGGGATAGATAGATTGATAGGTAGACAGACGGACAGACAGACAGACAGACAGAGCGATGACACTCACCCACCATCACCCCTCCAGCACTCTTATACTGCCCCTTCCCTTGTTGCTTGTCTGCGCTCCGTCTAAGTCTGGAGAAGTTGCTGACATGTGGGGTTATCCGGTCCTATAACTATGTTGTTCTCAGCGCTGGTTTTCAGTCATAGCAAGAATCATCGAAAAACATTGAGATCTGTCATCTCTAAGAGCTTAATCTTAAGATGTCAATGGAAATTCCAGGATCCTAAAATGCAGGTACTGTATCAAAGAAAAGGCCATATTTTGCTGGGGATATTCACTTGCACAAGCCTAAAAAATAGGCCCTGCATACGGTAGGTCCCTCAACAAATCGGTTCCGGTTGCATGGCCATCAGCATCATCTATAAGACAGCATATATATATCATATATTAGCATCCCATTTAACCACAACAGAAACCAAGATATATCACCAACAGAAGCCAGATTGCCCGTAGAAATAGATGATTTTCCCAGCTAGAAATCTCCATTTATATCCTTTGGGATTTTCCATGGCTATGATAAATAACCAGATGGTTGATTTAAGTCCTTTTCAGCATACGACCCATCCATCGTCCAGCTGCTTGCAGCCTTATGGAGGTTCTTGGGCTCTTAAGCAGATCTATGGCGAATCATATTTATATTTGACATTGATTGTATAAGCGTTTGGAGGGTTTTGAGGGTTTTGAGGGTTTGAAGCCGGGCAAACGGCAGTCTTGAACCCCGTGAAAAACAGATGGCAGGGGCATGTAGCTGTAAGAGTTGTTGCCTTGGAAAGGCCTGCGGAAGCGTTTGGAGGGTTTTGAGGGTTTTGAGGGTTTGAAGCCGGGCAAACCTTGAACCCCGTGAAAAACAGATGGCAGGGGCATGTAGCTGTAAGAGTTGTTGCCTTGGAAAGGCCTCTGGAAGCGTTTGGAGGGTTTTGAGGGTTTGAAGCCGGGCAAACGGCAGTCTTGAACCCCGTGAAAAACAGATGGCAGGGGCATGTAGCTGTAAGAGTTGTTGCCTTGGAAAGGCCTGCGGAAGCGTTTGGAGGGTTTTGAGGGTTTTGAGGGTTTGAAGCCGGGCAAACGGCAGTCTTGAACCCCGTGAAAGACAGATGGCAGGGGCATGTAGCTGTAAGAGTAAGAGTTGTTGCCTTGGAAACGCTTGCGGGAGCGTTTGGTTGAGCCCCATGAACAGATGGCAGGGGCATGTAGCTGTAAGAGTTATTGCCTTGGAAAGGCCTGCAGAAGCGTTTGGAGGGTTTGAAGGGTTTTGAGGGTTTGAAGCCGGGCAAACGGCACTCTTGAACCCCGTGAAAAACAGATGGCAGGGGCATGTAGCTGTAAGAGTAAGAGTTGTTGCCTTGGAAAGGCCTGCGGAAGCGTTTGGAGGGTTTTGAGGGTTTGAAGCCGGGCAAACGGCAGTCTTGAACCCCGTGAAAGACAGATGGCAGGGGCATGTAGCTGTAAGAGTTGTTGCCTTGGAAAGGCGTGCGGAAGCGTTTGGAGGGTTTTGAGGGTTTTGAGGGTTTGAAGCCGGGCAAACGGCAGTCTTGAACCCCGTGAAAAACAGATGGCAGGGGCATGTAGCTGTAAGAGTTGTTGCCTTGGATTGAAGCCGGGCAAACGGCAGTCTTGAACCCCGTGAAAAACAGATGGCAGGGGCATGTAGCTGTAAGAGTTGTTGCCTTGGAAAGGCCTGCGGAAGTATTTGGAGGGTTTTGAGGGTTTGAAGCCGGGCAAACGGCAGTCTTGAACCCCGTGAAAAACAGATGGCAGGGGCATGTAGCTGTAAGAGTTATTGCCTTGGAAAGGCCTGCAGAAGCGTTTGGAGGGTTTGAAGGGTTTTGAGGGTTTGAAGCCGGGCAAACGGCACTCTTGAACCCCGTGAAAAACAGATTGCAGGGGCATGTAGCTGTAAGAGTAAGAGTTGTTGCCTTGGAAAGGCCTGCGGAAGCGTTTGGAGGGTTTTGAGGGTTTGAAGCCGGGCAAACGGCCCGTGAAAAAACAGATGGCAGGGGCATGTAGCTGTAAGAGTTGTTGCCTCGGAAAGGCCTGCGGAAGCGTTTGGAGGGTTTTGAGGGTTTTGAAGGTTTGAAGCCGGGCAAACGGCAGTCTTGAACCCCGTGAAAAACAGATGGCAGGGGCATGTAGCTGTAAGAGTTGTTGCCTTGGAAAGGTAGCTGTAAGAGTTGTTGCCTTGGAACGGCCTGCGGAAGCGTTTGGAGGGTTTTGAGGGTTTGAAGCCGGGCAAACGGCAGTCTTGAACCCCGTGAAAAACAGATGGCAGGGGCATGTAGCTGTAAGAGTTGTTGCCTTGGAAAGGCCTGCGGAAGCGTTTGGAGGGTTTGGAGGTTTTAAGGGTTTGAAGCCGGGCAAACGGCAGTCTTGAACCCCGTGAAAAACAGATGGCAGGGGCATGTAGCTGTAAGAGTTGTTGCCTTGGAAACGCTTGCGGAAGGGTTTGGAGGGTTTTGTGGGTTTGAAGCCGGGCAAACGGCAGTCTTGAACCCCGTGAAAAACAGATGGCGGGGGCATGTAGCTGTAAGAGTAAGAGTTGTTGCCTTGGAAAGGCCTGCGGAAGCGTTTGGAGGGTTTTGAGGGTTTGACAGCCGGGCAAACGGCAGTCTTGAACCCCGTGAAAGACAGATGGCAGGGGCATGTAGAATGTAGCTGTGAGAGTTCTTGCCTTGGAAAGGCGTGTGCCTTTGCCTGCGACCAGAGAGCCAAGTTCCACACCTCCGGTGGTCCCAGGCGCCGCCCCTGCCTTGGCAAAGGCCGGGGTTGGCGGATATCAACATATCAAAATCGATCCAGCTTGGTTTCAAATTTGAGTATTTTCATCAAGCGCCAAAATTCGTGATTGCCGGAGGGGTGTTTAGCCTCTAAGCATTGCAAAGTGCATTCACAATATATCGGGAGGCTGTCAACACGAGAGCATCATGGACGTGGTCAAAGTGGAGGAGGTTTCGCTTCAAGGCCACAATGTGAAAGAACGCAGACAGATGCGCAGTTGCACGTGTCACACATGTGGTACCGATTGCATACATGGAGAATCACGGAGATGTGTGGCCTGCTTGCTCCGCCTGTCCTTGTCTTTATTTGATACGCAGCTTGATGTCCAGGGCCAAACTTCGCGACATGGCTTCCTGGCGGCACGCATGATCCAGCGCATAGAAACGCACAAGAAACGAATGGCACAGCATGGGGCCTTGGGATTTCAACATGTATTGAGGATCAAACCGATCGACGTGCGTCGAACGGATTTGACTGTGCAATATGGAGCGCCTTTAAGAAGTTTTGCAAAGAACGCCAGTGATGGCATGTTCATTGCATTCCATGCTCTGGATCTCGCGAGAGGTTGCAGCGCACTTTTTTCCCGAGAGCGTCTGAGCGAAGGGTTCTTCTAATAGTGGGGGTCTGTCAAACATTTTCACATCTTCACATCTTCTCATCCTCGCATCCTCACATCTTCACATCTTCTCATCTTCACATCCTCACATCTTCACATCTTCTCATCTTCACACCCTCACATCTTCACACCTTCTCATCTTCACACCTTCTCATCTTCACCTCTTCACATCTTCACATCCTCACATCCTCGCATCTTCACATCCTCACATCCTCACATCTTCACATCCTCACATCCTCGCATCTTCACATCCTCACATCCTCACATCTTCACATCCTCGCATCTTCACATCTTCACATCTTCACATCCTCACACCTTCACATCTTCACATTCTCTCTTGCCCTCTTGCTCTCTTGCCCTCTTGCTCTCTCCTTCTTTTCTATTTCTCTCTTGAAGGCGCGGGGCAGTGCCAACGAGCCGGCAGGAAACGCAACCCTTTCGCACGAAACGATGTTCGATCGCCAAAAAACTGAAGTAAAATTGCGATTTGCAAAGCGTCCGGTCGCAACCCTTTCGCACGAAACGAGGTTCGATCGCGAAAAACTGCGGTAAAATTGCAATTTGCAAAGCGTCCGGTGCAACCCTTTCGCACGAAATGAGGCTCCATCGCCAAAAACTGATGTAAAATAGCGATTTTCATTTGCACTTGTCCGAGCGCAACTATTTCGCACGAAATGACATTCGATCGCCAAAAGCTGAGGTAAAATTGCGATTTTCATTTGCACTTGTCCGAGCACAACCCTTTCGCACGAAATGAAGTTCGATCGCGATAAATTATAGGTAAAATTGCGATTTTCATTTGCACTTGTCCGAGCGCAACCCTTTCGCACGAAATGAGGTTCGATCGCGATAAGCTGAGGTATAAAAGTGTGATTTTCATTTGCACTTGTCCCAGCGCAACCCTTTCGCACGAAATGAGGTTCGATCGCGATAAACTGAGGCAAAATTGTGATTTTCATTTGCGCTTGTCCGAGCGCAACCGTTTCGCACGAAATGAGGTAAAATTGCGATTTGACGGGTCCGGTCGCAACCCTTTCGCTCGAAAGTTCGATCGCCGAAAATTGCGGTAAAATTGCGATTGCACGGGTCCGGTCGCAACCCTTTCGCACAAAATGATGTTCGATCTCCGAAAACTGCGGTAAAATTGCGATTTGACGGGTCCTGTCGCAACCCTTTCGCACGAAATGATGTTCGATCGCCAAAAACTGTGGTAAAATTGCGATTTTGAAGCGTCCGGCGCAGCCCTTTCACTTCTGTGTGTAAAAGTCTCTGTGTGTAAAAGCTTCTGTGTGTAAACGGGTTTGCGTGTAAAAGGGTCTGTGTGAAAGTGTTTGTGTGTAAAAGCTTTTGTGTGTAAAAGCGTCGGTGTGTAAAAGCTTTTGTGTGTAAAAGCGTGTGTGTGTGTAAAAGCCTCTGTGTGTGAAAGTGTTTGTGTGTAAAAGTCTCTGTGTGTGAAAGTGTTTGTGTGTAAAAGCTTCTGTGTGTAAAAGGGTCTGCGTGTAAAAGCTTCTGTGTGTAAAAGAGTCTGTGTGTAAAAGTCTCTGTGTGAAAAAGCGTCTGTGTGTAAAAGCTTCTGTGTGTAAAAGGGTCTGCGTGTAAAAGGGTCTGCGTGTAAAAGGGTCTGTGTGTAAAAGGGTCTGTGTGTAAAAGTCTCTGTGTGTAAAAGCGTCTGTGTGTGAAAGCTTCTGTGTGTAAAAGCGTCTGTGTGTAGAATCTTCTGTAGGTAAAAGTCTCTGTGTGTAAAAGCTTCTGCGTGTAAAAGCTTCTGTGTGTAAGAGCGCCCTGTGTAAAAGCCTCTGTGTGTGAAAGTGTTTCGGTGTAAAAGCGTCTGTGTGTAAAAGTGTTTGTGTGTAAAATTTTCTGTGTGTAAAAGGGTTTGCGTGTAAAAGGGTCTGTGTGTGAAAGTGTTTGTGTGTAAAAGCTTTTGTGTGTAAAAGCGTCGGTGTGTAAAAGCTTTTGTGTGTAAAAGCGTGTGTGTGTGTAAAAGCCTCTGTGTGTGAAAGTGTTTGTGTGTAAAAGTCTCTGTGTGTGAAAGTGTTTGTGTGTAAAAGCTTCTGTGTGTAAAAGGGTCTGCGTGTAAAAGCTTCTGTGTGTGAAAGTGTTTGTGTGTAAAAGCTTCTGTGTGTAAAAGGGTCTGCGTGTAAAAGGGTCTGCGTGTAAAAGGGTCTGTGTGTAAAAGGGTCTGTGTGTAAAAGTCTCTGTGTGTAAAAGCGTCTCTGTGTAAAAGCTTCTGTGTGTAAAAGCGTCTGTGTGTAGAATCTTCTGTAGGTAAAAGTCTCTGTGTGTAAAAGCTTCTGTGTGTAGAATCTTCTGTAGGTAAAAGTCGCTGTGTGTAAAAAGTTTCTGTGTGTAAAAGCATCTGTGTGTAAAATTGTCTGCGTGTAAATGGGGCTGCGTATAAAAGCGTGTGTGTGTGTGTGAAAGTGTCTCTGCCGGATCTGTGTACAAGCGTATGAATGGGGGCTCAAGACGTCATCCACAGCGTGGTCGCTACAAGTTGTGCAGCACTCAGAGTTCGCATCGTCAACAAGTTGCATCATCCGACAGCAATCCATGTACTAATTGACTCATTCTTGCATGCTTTCCTTCGCACTGCAGCATGAGAAACGAATCAATCGTAGCTTTTCGGTTCAAGATTTGCACGATCTTGGAGGACGTCGCTATGTTGAGGGCTGCCTTGGCCCAACGTTTGTAGTTGAAGCTGTAGCGGAGACAAGTCAACCAAAACTGTTCGAGACTTGTTGAGGCACGTAATGCTTCCTTTCTGACAAGTCAACCAGACCTGTCTGAGACTTTGTCGTCTACAGTCAACTTCGTCGACAGTGAATAAAGCTGCTGATTGCTCTTGCGCAGGTAGTTGCATGGATCGATCTGATTTCTATCCGCAACATGTTCGATGGCATTGCTTATCGTCACACTTGCCTATGTGACATCATGAGGCTGCAGGTTCTTCATCACATGTAGACTGCACTGTTGAAAAGCACACATCGCAAAGTTTCTAGCAATCAAATGCAGGTCCCCTAATGCAGGCCACGAACTTCACCCCCCTTCGGATTGCTGAGGTGCCCATGACAACGATGACTTCGCTGTGAGCGTGTGTGTGTGTGTCCTGGTGGCTGTCTGCGTCTCTGTTTGTGCGTCCAGTGTCTATCTCTTTGTGTGCGTGTGTCTCTGCCTGTGTATGTGTGTCTGCGTGTATGTGTGTTCCTCTTTGTGTGCGTGTGTGTCTGTGCCTGTGTGTGTGCGCGTGTATGTGTCTTCCTCTTTGTGTTCTGTTTGTGTGTGTGTGTGCGTGTGGTGTCTGTCTGTGTACCGTGTGTGTGTGTGAACCATCTGAAAAGATGTAAAAATTCTACTTCCGATTTTACCTGCTCCTTCTTCATTTTACTTCTGGCACGAGAAAAGGCGTTAAACTTACCTGTTTTTTGTCGGCATTATTTCATTTCATTTCAAGCAGGGGGGCACAGAAGGCCCATAGAGCTGTGCCCAACGAAGCTCTCTATGGTGTCCTTAGGATATCCAGGCTGATCACCTGGACGTACCTGCATCCATTTCAACGGTTTCGATGTCAATTTTCTGAAATGGCGACCGGCCAAGCCAAGAACCGGCATGTCGATCAGTTGAAAGGTTGTTCATGTCAATGCACTGTTGTCGCAATCTGGTTTCTCAGTTGTCACTAGAGGGATCTACTTCTCACTTTTTCCATCTAGTACTGGACATGGCAATGATACTTTTCGAACTTTCTCGGGTCTCTTCACCGACCCATTCCTGTCAGGTATAATTGGAGCGTTTTTGCACGTAAGATGCATTCCACATCAAAATTCGCAATGACAGCAAGTGTGTGATTCATGCTGGATTCGTCAAGGTGGCATGAACCCTTCGGGGAATGCTTTTCTAAGCAGAATGTGGATGCAACGACCCGATGTCTGAATTTACACTTTTAATATAGTAATTCATCTAAGTCAAGTGAAACAGTCGGCCTTTTGTCAGGGTTTCACCTGTCACCTGTCGTAATGTTGAACAGCGTGCTGCTGTGCCTGGCTTGACCTTGTTTCGAGAGACTGCCTGATAGTCAAGGGTTCGTAGCTAACTGCCGCGACAACCTTCTTTTTTCAACACTGCCCAAGTGAGTACAGTACTCTACAACACTTGCATCATGCAAAATGATCAGGACAGGCGTCAGGACATGCCTTAGGTGTGGTTTTCCTTTTCTTGATGGTCTCTGGTGAGGTTCAAGTGTGCACGTAATTCACTTCTGACTACTGACAGCCGTATATAGGGTTGTGACTTGAAAACGGAGGGCCCTGGAGCCTGATCACGATTCATGCACGTCATGTGGATGCATCATGTTTAAAGTGGTTTCCTGTTTAGTTGATTCAACCTGACATCACCCTGCCATGTTCCCTGGCCGCTTTTCCAACATTCCTGAGTCTATGTGGAACTTTGGATGGATCCCTCAGTCGATGGGACTTCATGGTCAATTTTGTGGAGGTGATCCAATGGGTCAACAGTCTCAAGCTCAGGCTCAGGCGCAGATCTCAGCACTTCAACAACAGAATGCGATGTTGAATCAACACCTCCACACACAAGCTCAATCTCATATCAACCATCTCCAACAGCTTATTCCATTCCACCAACCTCCACAACCATTTCCACCCACGTCAGCAGCATTCCAATCAACACCACAAACACCAGTGCCACAGGCACCAGATCCACCGGCACCTACGGCCAC